AATTGCTAATTTTCCTCTTCAATTATGTGAGCTACATGAGGGAAGGAAAGATAAATGTCTTGGTCACTGCTGTATGTGTCTTCCAGCCTAGCACAATGCTCCTGACACAAGAAAGAACTCAACAAATACTGAAAGAATATATATTTTTACACAATCGTCATTACAGCAGGTACAACTGCTTATTCTCTTTTTGTTAATATTATATTACATTCCTACAAGGCTAAAGGATTTATCATTTTTAGTGGGCACACACCAGTCCATTGGGTAGATCTACCACAGACTGTTTAAACCCTCCCTGCCTAATGAACACAGAACTGCCTTCAATGATTCATAAATACAAAGCATCTATAACATGCTTATCATTTTCCATTTTAATGGATCATTTCCTTAAGATACACTCCTAGGAATAAGATCACTGGTCAAAGGGTATGGGCACTTCAAAGGCTAATGAAACACTGTGCATGAATGCTTACCAAAGGACTGTGCCTCGTCATCGCCCCTCCCCAGCAAGGAACCGGGACACCGGTTTTTATCACAACTTTGACATCACATGTCATTGTTTAAAAAACTTTGGTAATGTAATAAACTTAAAATGACCCCTCATTGTTTAATCTGCTTATCTTTAATAGCTAATAAAGCTAAAGGGAATGTAAAAGTCCTATTTTGGGACTCGACTTTTTGCTCACTTCCAATAAAAGCTTCTCATACAAAGAGAAAGGTAGTGGCAGCCTCTAAATATAGATGATATCTTGTGATGATTTTAAAAGAATAAGGAGAAAATGCAGCAGCTTTTTGTTTTTTTTTTAAACCAACTATGAAGCCTGGCCCATAATTCACCAAAATGCTCCATTTTCTGACAGCTGAGGTGCTTAGGGGGGCCCCCAGAGCCCTTTCCAGAACAGCGGTGGGGCCCAGGTGTGCAGCGGGGCTGGTGAGCGATTGGCTGCGATGACTCCTGCGGGCCTGAGCCAGACTCCACACGGGGAACGAGGGAGCCTGAACTCCACAGGGGCCCCCGTTTCTGCTTACTGGCTCTTTCAAGGAGCCTTTCTGCCCGCTGAAAGGGATTTAGCCAGGAAGGTGATTACAATGAGTTTAATTACAGTTAGACACTGATCTGGCTCAACCCACTAAAACAAAAAAAAAAATCTAACAGATAAATGAATACTGACCAGTCAAGATGGCGTTCAAACTAAGCTCAGATTGTGTGAATGACTAAGCATAGGAGAAAAAATAAACCAAGGGAGCTCAAGAATCTCATTCTGATATTTTTAAATGAACACAAAGTACTGTTTTTCAAAAGTATTTTTAGCGGCCAGCCCAGTGATGCAGCGGTTAAGTTTGCGCACTCTGCTTCAGCGGCCCAGGATTCATAGGTTCAGATCCCAGGTGCAGACCTACATATCACTCATCAAGCCATGCTGTGGCAGTGTCCCACATATAAAAAATAGAGGAACACTAGCACAGATGTTAGCTCAGGGACAATCTTCCTCAAGAAAAAAAAAAAAGAAAAGAAAAGAAAATGGTACTTTTAAGTGTATTTTATAAGTTAAGATTCTTGAAGCAACTCATTTTGACACTGAGCCAATGTGAAGGGTGTGTCTGCTGCATGTTCTCCATCCTTTTGCACATTCCTCATCAGCTCTCTTTGCAGGCCCTTGAACCCCCTGCACCCCCAAGTTCCTCCACTCTTAGATGCTCCCTTGACAGTCCACATCCCAAGCCCTGAACCTCCTACTGCCTCCTCCTCCAACCCCCAGCCCTCTTTCCCGTGGACCAAACAGTGCTCATGGAGACAAACATCCAACGCCTGGATCTGTTTCAATAGAAGACCTTCTAGTCTATGGGTTTCAGTTCTCCATTGCCTAGGCCAGAGACTGACCTAGGGGTCTGCTCCCACCACTGGAATATGCAGATATAGAAGCACCCATAGAATCTGCCAAAGTTGATGTCCAGATTAAAGGAGATCATGGAAGAAAGGCAGTGGCTCTGCTGAGGGGAGCCCTGGAATGGAGCCCAGTCCACTGGGGTCGGTCCTGGTTCTACCAACATCCCTGCTATGGGCCCTGGCCAAAGGGCACACTTTAACTCCCTCCTTCGGCCTCCATGTCCTGTCTGCAAAATGACAGGGTTGGATTCGATGGTTTGAAAAGTCTCCCTCAGCTCTGACATTCTGGGATTGTGTATATGCCATTCAAATGCATTTTTATAACTTTATCCCCTTTGGTATATAGTGCAATTTAGGCACAGAGTAAGCACTCAGGTGTCACACAAACTAAATTAACTGGAAGTCCAAATTACAGTGAAAAACCCTCCAAAAGCATGTACTAACAGACCCAGAGCTTATGTATGTGTCTGTGTGTACGTTCAGGAAACACCATCACCAATTATAGATACAACCACTCAGCACCCTTAAGTTATTCATACACTTTACATAACAATTATTTACCTCCTATTTTCTCCCGAAAATTCCCAGGAAGCTATGAACATCGAATTCCAATGTTGTCCACCATTAGAGTTCCACTGGAAGAATCTCTGATTAGCTACTGTGTGCAAATACCAAGTTCAGTTTTTCTAGTCCCAGGCTCGCCAGTGAAATGTATACACTTTATCTCACACATAAAGCACCAAAAAGAACGTCTGCTTCACCTGTAGGAAAACTAGACTAAGAGTTGGGCTTCAAAGCTGAAATTCTGGGAAAAATATCTAGCAGCAGCAGGCATGGAAGACTGGCAGGCATTCTGTCCTACACAATTTGGCAAATGGGGAGGGGTAACTCCTTTTTTAACATCTACTAATGACAACAGATTGATCTCAAGTTGGGCTTCTCAACAGAGAAAGATACAATGACGATGATGATGATGATGATGACAACAGAAGCTAATTAGCAGTAGCAGGGATAACTTGCTCTGGTGCTTACTATACATACATAATCTCTTTTATCTCATACGTTATCTCACTTAATTCTCATAAAAAATCCCAATGAGGTAGATATCATTGTGACATGCCCCCATGTGAAAAAGAAACTGTGGCTGGACAGTAACTGCCGAAGAGGTCCCCCAGCTAGTAAACGGCAGAGCTGGAGTCAACGCTAGTCTGTGTGCTCTCAGAGCCCGGGTTCTAGAGAACAGAGCAAGGACTATTCACTAGCTTGTGACTAATGGCTGAGTCATGGCCTGCAGACGCTGGGGGAGGCCCAGGGTGGGTTGGGTCAGCCAGTGCTCTGCCCTCTGGCCTTTCCAGGGAGAAGGTGACCTCCAGGTGAAGTCAACGGCCAAACTATTGTTTGCAGCTTCGCAGGAAGCTGTTTGAAAGAGTTATTGAAAAAAGTTCTTACTAAATCAAGCTGTACCAATATTTTTATTTCCTCTCATGCAATGCCACGTTTAAAGGCATTATATGGGCCTGTTTATAAAGCCTGGGAAAGAAGTCTGTGTGACTTAAGTTCAGAAAAACAAAAGCGTCCCACTCTTAAAGCAAAGAGAACAGAGAAAGTCAGATGGCGTGCGTCCTTCTTAGAGCAAGTCCCAAATTGGCCTAACACTCTGGCCTCTCCAAATCAGATAATAACACAGCTCTAAAGACCTAATTGATATTTTTGGTGCCTGCATTTTTATTCTACTGATACACCTTAGCACATGGGCTCCACATGTTTACTAGCTTTGGCTGATGGTTTTTTTTATTGAGGATTGAAACCAATAACCGTAGCGAATACTGAGAAGAGAATTGCTTTTGGAGTAACTTTTTAAAAAGTTTCAAGAACATACAAAGAATCTACATATACTCCTGGACCTAATATGTTTTAATGGCTGGGTGAGTATTAAGAATTAATATAAGTAATTAAGAATTAATATGAGTTGAGTGCTTTTGCATTTAGTAAGCCCTTCTGCTCCACTAACTCATTTGGTTCTCATGTCACCTCTTTGAGGTCACGCAAGCAGCAATATTCTTGTTTCATTTGTGATGGAAATTAGGCTGAAGGGATGTTAAATTCAGAGATAGAGCTCAGACCCCTCCCTTCCCTCACATCACTGCTTGGTGCTTAAAGATTTTATTTGCTTTAGTGCCAACCAGCAGACTGACCACTAACCCAAACATTTTAAATTCTATAAATAAAACATCATTTGGGTGCTTATCTCTCTAACCACTTTCTTTTACGTTAATGTTATGGATTCTAATTAACACCCATAGCTACATACTCAGGAAGAGTCCTGAGCTACCCAGTTGAGCAACTTGCTATGAGTTGGGAGGCCTAGGGGGTGGCACGTGGCCTCCCTGGCACCTGCCCAACCTACTTCAGAGCCCATCCCACCTTATACAGAACTTGAACTCACAACCAGCAAAGGGTCCCCAGCTGCATGCTCCACTTGAACACAGAAAGCTGAGACACACTGAATATCTCTTCCAGGGCACAGCGAAACATTAGTCTGAGGTGGGGGGGGGGGTAGTTTCCTAATCCTTAGAAGTAGCCTAAAAGGGGCTCAAACTCGTGAACTTGACTGTTAAATAGAAAAAGCATTGGTTTTGGAAATGGAACCATGGGCTTCAAATCCTTACTCTGCTACTTAGCTCATTTTCCTTGGGCAAGTTATGTAACCTCACTGGGCCTCAATTCTATCATCTATAAGCACAGATAATACACACAAGCAGAGAGGCAGTGATGTGGCTAGCACAGAATCTGGCATGTGGGTGGAGTCCAGTGTGTGGTCTTTCGAGGCACAGAACGCCTAGTCCAGAGCACGGCCCACTGGCAAGGCAAGCCTTTCCTTTCACACAACCCTGAAAGGGCCACGCAAGGTAGAGTTTGCAAGTGTTAACAGCATACGAGCAATGTGAGGAGTTTTGATTAAACTTTTGCACGGTTCAATGACTGTTAAGAACACAAAACAGACCAACTTTGCAGTAAGTGCTGTCTCTGGTGACAGTCAGTTGAATTTTTCCTGTGTGTGGCACTCTGTTCTAAGCTTGTGAACGTGGGGTAGCAAGAACAAAATATTTACCTTTTCCAGGGCCTCTCTGTCAAGTAGTTCTTGCACAGCTAGAAGCTTGATGCTGTAAGAAAAAATTAAAACCATACTTGAAAACAACCCATTTCATGTTACCAAGCATCCGACAAGTCACAAGAACGAAAGTGAAATTTCAGCTTGTATTTCTGCATCATCTCCCATCTTAAGGTAACTTTTGGTTTGAAGAGAAATGACCATTTCAGAACTATTAAAAATGTTTCTAAATTGTAAAAGTGATTTTACTATATGATCCAGCAATTCCACGTCTGAGTGTATACCCAAAGAGTTGAAAACAGGGACTCAAACAGATATTTGCACACCCATGTTCACAGCAGCACTGTTCACAATAGCCAAAGGTGGAAACAACCCAAACGTCCATCAATGAATGAATGGATAAACAAAATGTAGTATATACATAAAATGGAATATTATTCAGCCTTAAAAAGAAGGAAATTCTGGCACGTGCTACAACATAAATGAAACTTGAAGACATTATACTAAATGAAATAAGTCAGACACAAAAGGACAAATACGGCATGACTGCACTTACATGAGGCACCTAGAGTAGTCAGATTCACAGAGACAGAAAGTAGACTGGTTGCCAGGGACTGGGAGGAAAGGGGAGTTGTTGTTTAATGGGTACAGTTTCAGTTTGAGATGAGGAAAATGTTCTGGAGATGGATGGTGGTGATGGTTGTAAAACAATGTGAATGTACTTAATGCCACTAAACTGTACATTTATAAATGGTTAAAATAGTGAATTTTCTGTTACATACATTTCACCACAAAAAATCCTAAAAGTAATTGATAGCTGCTTCATGTATGGAATCTGAATAAATTCAGAGGAATATAAAGAAGAAAATAGCTGCCCACGTTCGTGTTAACCTTCCCTGGAGTCCCTTTGATGATAACAAGCAATAGCCAAAATCACTGCTTATAAAGAGGGCCTGCGCGGATGCTCATTTGTGAACCACACATTGACTGAGCCCTACTGTGTACGGGTGGCCGAGGATGCACGATAATTATGATACCCTCCTCGACCACGAGGAGCTCACAGCCTCGTGGAGGCCACAGTCACACCAGAATATGATGTGCAGTGTGCTAAGTGGATGGGCCCAGACACAAAGAGGAGCTTGGCTCGCCATGGTCTAGTAGAGAACAGAGAAGGCTTCCTGGAGGAGGGGACTGGGTTAGCCCTGCCAGGGGAGCGTGCTGAGGAGACAGGTGACCCACAGAGGGACAGCAGAGGTAAAGGCACTAAGGGGAGAGAGAGGGCATAGGGTGTGTACAACTCGCCAGTTTCCAGTTTAGGGGCCAGAGCGCAGACTGCAGCCAGCAACTGAGATGAGAGAAGTCAGACGCGGATGCAGGCTTTACAGAGGAGGAATCTTCCCTTTCAGGACACGCTGCTTTTGAAGTGTTCACGGACACAACGAGCAGGCAGCCAAGGCTGGACTCGTCAACACACAGCACACGGGCGGGCGGAAGCAGGAGAGTTCAGTGAGATGGCTCAGGGAGTGGGTCAGCTGTTGATGGGGCCATGATACTCCCACCCCGCTCAGCTACCGTCCTATGGTCTCTGTCACTGTGCACCCTACCCCCACCAACCTGCATGGGTTCTCCCGAGCAGAAACAGGCCCCACCCATACCCATGTGCCTCCCTCCAAAGGGGTTACGCCCATGATCAAGTTCCCCTGAATTTACAGAACTCTTCATAATCTCTCTGCACAACTAAGCAAGAACTGTCCAACCAACTGCAATGGTTAACTTAAAAGCAACTCCAGGAGGTGCAAGAAAAGTTTTAAAAACTTACAAGAAACTACCACCACCAACAACACTTCAGCAAACATCAAGGCTAATAGGAAAAGACTCTGGGCATTCCCTCCACTCCAATCATACTGACTCTCCTTTGTCTCTTGGACATGTTTGCTTTCATTGCTTCTCTGGCCTGGAAGGGTCTTCCCCAAGATCTTTACAACACGGACCCCGCACATCACATCACTCTAGTCCAAACGCAAATGCCGTCTCCTCCAAGTAACCTTCCCTGGACACCTGAGGTGAAGCAGTGTCCCTGGTCACCACATTTTATTTTCTTCAGTGCACTCACTGGTACCTTAGAGCATTTATTTGTTGGAGTGCTTTGTCTGTTTCCTCCCAACCAGTGTGGAAGCTCCTTGAGGCTGGGGGCTCGATGGTCTTCTCACTACATTTGCAGTATCTATAACTGGCAGGTGGACAGCACTCAAAGAATATTTACTGACCCGCTGACAGAGCTCAGTTGCTATTATAGCTCGCTCATTCCAGCTTGGATGGGTAAAATCACTGGCCAAGCCTCAGTTTCTCCATTTGAAAAAGAATCCCTCAAATGAGATGACTGCATGTGTTTTCCCATGGTGAGAGGTGCCATGTGCATTTGCATGAGTGCCTGCCATTAATGGGATGTGCCTGGTGGCAGGTCAAAGCTCCTGGCCACCCAGCACATCCTGACTCCCAGCACACGAATCTAGACTCCAGGTTACCAATTTGGACGGCAACTTAACATGCTAAGTTAGGAATTTCCAGTTGTAGCTCAAGTCTCAGAAGCTTAAATTGTTTCCGAAATAACCACTGGAAAATATTTATATTGAAGGAAGTTTTAAAATAGTCTCTTATTTCCACCCCTCTCTACGGTTATGAAGCCCAATTCAGCACCAGATATCAGAGGTCAACAAGTGAGAGAAAAGGTTTCAACACTGTTAAGATATTCAACTCCCTTTTTCTCCCTATTCACAAAGATACTACATTCAAACCACTGTAGAACATGATCTGAAAACGAACAGTCTCAGGTTCTGAATGAAAATGAAATTAAAACAACTTCAGGGCTGGCCAGGTGGCGTAGTGGTTAAGTTCGCGCGTTCCGCTTCGGCAGCCCAGGGTACTGCAGTTTGGATCCTGGGCACGGACCTACTCACTGCTCATCAAGCCATGCTGAGGTGGTGTCCCACATAGAAGAACTAGAAGGACCTACAACTAGGATATACAACTATGTACTGGGGCTTTGGGGAGAAAAAAGAAAAAGGAAAATTGGCAACAGATGTTAGCTCAGGGCCAATCTTCCTCAAAAATAAAGAAAAAACACAAAACAACTTCAGATGGCTCTTATTTAGGTCAAAACCTGAGGATGCTACTCCCTGCTTTCATTGCTTTTCTTCTAGAACAGAGATGGCAAATACTTAGTATACGTATTGCTACTGTCCAATCCTCGCCACTTCTTTCCTTGGAACTTTTCCCCATTTAACTTAGATACAGCTTCAGAATCCTTCTCCACAATCCAGTGAGCCACAATCAATTTACTGAAGGTGGCATGTGAGATTAAACCAATTTAACATCTGCCCTAAAGCCAATACCAAATAGGGTTAATGTGGGGGAGGGGTGCAGGAAAAATAGAGACATTCTCACACTACTAAAACCCAGCAACACAAGACGAGACTGCTTTAGAGGAAGGGGAGAAAAGATAGAGAAGATGGAGAGAAGATGACAGGACACTCAAATTTATATGGTTTGAGTTTCAAAATGGAGACAATGCATGTTAATACAAAGCTACTGCCACAGATGCTCATAACATTGGATTTTTTCACAAAGCTGTGTTTTTTCCCCCCCTTAGAGTTGCAGTCTTTAAGAGTATTTGAGATGTTTCCTGTTATATAACTATCCTAATGTTATTTCTTACCTTATTGGAAACTCTTCAAGGCTGGAGTCTTTATTTCAGTATTTATGGTATCAGATTCTTCTAGCACATCAGATACTCCCTGGGAGGGAATTTCACACATGAAGGAGGAACAAACTTATTTATCAAACCCTCCATGTGACACCTCTAACTTCTTACCCTGGAAAGGAATCTCATCTCTCATTTTCAATTTTGGTCCTCCATCCCTCTCTGCCTTCCTCCTTCCCTCCCTCTTGCTGTTTTTCTCTTAACTCCACAAACATACATTTGAATCCCTCCTATACATCAGAAACTGTGCCAGGCACCAGGGGGGCAAAGATGAACACATCATCACCCCTGCCCTCAAAGGCTCACAGGGGCCAGGATGCTGCTTGGGCACATGCCCAGAGAGGTGTGTCTCCCTGAGACTCTCCCAGGTTCCAACGCAGACGGGCAGAGCTGGGCTAAACAGAGCATGTCGGTCAGATGGCCTGGTGCTTGGTTGGCATCCTCTGAAAACAGCAGAGCTCCCATCAGATGGAAGCTGCAATGAACTGCAATTTCTTTTTCTGCATTCAACTTTGGGAAGAGAGGCAAATCACACAAAGGCAGCTGATAGCAGTGATTTATTTAGAAAAACGACAACTTCAAGGGCAAGTTCTGAAGTCAAGCTGGGCAACAGTGAGAAAGACCTAGAATACATGCAATTAATGTTTGCTAAATAAGCTGCAGGGAGGTAAGGTGTTGGAGGGCAGATGTTTTATGCAGCTGGAGAGCACCTGGCACAGTGAGACCTACAACGCAACTACAAGTGGCAACGGGGAAAGTGCCAGGCAGACAGTGACAGTTGGGAAGAAAAGCAGCAAAGTTGAAGCAACAGAAGACAGAGGGCACCCCTGCAGACTGGGGGTAGCAGGGCTGCAGAGTGAGTGAACCTCAGCGGCCCCTGAAAAGGCAGATGAGAGGTAACTCTACGGGTGCTGCAAAAGCACTTGAAGGATAAACTCCCAACTGTACAGAAACTCCCACTTCCAGAACAGATGACAGCCTACAGAGCACCAGAGTCAAGAATTCACTCTAGCTCCCTCTCTCTGAGGATTCTGGCACTGAGTTTCCACTGCATTTAATAAGTGATATAGTATAGTGCATGAGATACAGTAGCACTCAATAAACGCATAAAGGATGTAATATGATGGAGCCATTGATTCACTGCATGGATAAAATATTTAAGGGTTATGCATTATGTACCAGGCACAATTGGGCGCTGGGGATACAGTGATGAGCAAACACAGCCTCTGCCTTCAAACTTCTGAGCCTAATGGAGGAACCAGGTAAGCACACCAGCCACGTGATGAGCGCTA